TTATTTACTTCAATTTTCAAGCGGAAACGAATTAAACTTTCATCGGGGAAAATTGTCTTAAATAACATTATTTTGGTAAAATTGACAACGTTCTAAACATTTTTCAAAACCACAATTAAAAAAATAATTTTAAATTGAATTTACTTAAAAAACACTTTTTGTTGGAATTTTTTAGAACTGTAATTTAATTATATGAAAGCAGATTATTTCTATTATAGACATTTATTTTATTTACTTCAATTTTCAAACGAATTAAACTTTCATCGGGGAAGATGTTATATCTACCAGTGACAGTTAATCGAACCAATATTTGAACCTCCTCAAAATTGCTCGATTAACTTAGTTTAGGCAATCTATAGAAGCCACAACGAATCCAATTTATTCGACGAAATAAATGTCGCATTTCCAACAGCAATCAATTTTCGTTCAATTCGAATTTGTGAGATAGTTTTCAATTATCTTTCATCCTCAGGTTTCAAATATGACTTGTCTTCTGAAGAACAACGACCGCGCTTGGAATCGGAGGAAGAAGGTGTGTTGTATGCTGAAAACTACCGTCGATGGCCTTGGCAGGACGTCGATGATTGGAACAGAAAGAAGGAACAAGAATTCGATTTAGAGCTTCCAGAACTTCGAAATTTAGAAAAACTGCTAGATAGAAATCAAAACGACGATCTCCCGGCATATTACAACTCACGGCCGAGTTTTGACAATGCCTACGACGAATACAAACCCATAGAAAAGCTACACAAGTTTGATCGATTCAACTTTAGATATCCAAACAGTCAAATTCTGGACGATGTTAGGCCCTATCCACACGAAGATGACTTTACTTTTGGAGATGAGGAGGTCAAGGAGGAGAGGGATTTAAAGCCTCATGAGCCCCAAGAGAGGCACCAGCATGAAGTTGAATCAATGGGGGACAACCATCACCATTCTAGTCACATGGTGGTGAACACTGGTGAGAAGAATAATGAAGAGGCGTCAGGGAAAGGGGCGTTGGAGGAAGCCCCCATATTGGAAGACTTAAGTCAATTTGCATATCTTCCTACTGATGCTCGATTTTTTCAGAATACTGAAAGTGATAACGGTAAATTTTTTTCAATCTCTACATTAACTAAACAATAGTTACGTCAGAAATGTGATACATTTGAGATAAGTTTATTGATTTATCCTCCATATATTCATCAGGACCTGAATGGAATCGTGATAAGTCAATAAATACTAAACAGAGCTTTATATAATATTATTAAATAAACAAAGAATTTATAAATAAGTAAAAAATTAAAAACAATTTGATATAAAATATCTGAAAAATTTGAAGAAATCGTAAAATGAAATTTATTTTTTATTGATTTTTGTTACATTTTAGGTGATCAAAAAGTTAAAACGAAACTAGAGAAAATCAAAGACAATAAAATACGTTTGATTCATAGAAGTGATGAAGCATTTGTGGATGAAATGGATTCGTTCGGAAAAACAGAAAGTCGTGAGAAAAACGACCAAGTGAAAGTTGTCGCTGTTCAGCCTCAAGGAACTCCCAGAGAAGCAACCGGAGTTTACATAATTGGTGTTGTTGCTGGAATTAGTGCTGCAGCTACTGTTGGACTCATTGCTGTTGGTCTTGGGTGGTACAAGTAAGTAAGGAAAATCAGATAAAAATATAGATGAAAGTGAAACACTTGGTGTTTATGGTTTAAAATATAAAAATATAACGGCTTAACCTACTTTTACTAAAGTTAAATAGCTAGAAGTAAAATTGATAAAGGTTTATTGCAATGTTATAATAATGTATGTCAAGGCTTGAGTGCTTCCAACAAAGATATTTTAAAATGTAATTTCTTTGGTTGTGGTTTGTTTTTATAGAACCAAGGCCTTGATAAAAAATAAAAAATAACCGGAAATGATTCAAGTTCTTATGAATATCATAGTAATGGAGGACAATTCCAGAGACACTGATTTTTTATCTTTTGAAACCACTGATGCAGAATGCGAACTTTAAAGAATTCCGGAAATAAGTTTCAGATTTAATCTTTAGTAGAGTTAGCTTTCCATGTATGTAGTCTTGGATTTCATAATTTACACGAATATCTTTTTAAACCTTCTTGTTGAATTTTTTTGGTGATCAATAAAAACTCATTTTCTATCTCCAACACCGAATTATTAAACCAAAGTAAATTACAACTTAATTCTAATTAGTTTAATTCTGAACGAGGGGCCGTTCACTCTGGAATTAGTTGTACAAATTTTTGGAATTTAAATTTAAATTTAAATGGAAATTGCTTGGAATTATTTTGAAGTATTTGGAATTATTGAAATAATTTTTGGATTGTTTGGAATTACTTGTGAATTACTGCAAATATGTGTGGATTACTGGATTTTTTTGAAATAGCTGGAATTCTTTTTGGAAATGCTGGAATTTTTTTGAAATTCTTTTTGGAATTATCAGAGTTACTTGGAGTACCATATTGATGACGTAGTTGTACATACAACTTGAGCGCGCTGCGCGAGCGCTGAACTTTAAGGGCACTTATATGTATAATTTTTTTTCAAAATTAAGTTGAATTTCTTAGAACTATTTAATTTGGAATTACAGAAATTACAGAAACTGCTCCACAACAGTTAAGAAAGTCGCATTATTTTTACAACAAACAAATTCTATTCTTCTAAGTATTGTGAAATCCATTACGGAAATTAAGTTGGAATTACAGGAATTAATTTTCAATTACAAAAATTAATCTGAAAAAAAATGAATGGAATTACGATGGATTATTGTAATTACCAGTAATTTTTTTGAAATTACTGGAATTTTGGTGGAATTTTATTGGAATTACTGTAATTTCGGTGGAACTTTTTTTGAATTGGAATAAGTTATACAGATTTTTTCAAGTTCGATTGTGAATTAAAATTTAATTTACTTTCTGCAAACCCGCCCTAAATTAATTAAAATAATTAATAGGTATTGATATGTTTTCGCCAATTTGTGTTTTCATAATCTATTTTTTTAAAACAAGGTTAAGTAGATACAATCTGGGTTTGGATCTTTTAGAAGGAACATTATATAAATTTATATATAAAAGGCTGCGCCAGAACTCGCACCCCAGAGAAAATTTTCAAGTACGATAAGATACTAGGAACATGGAAGAAATGTTTAAAAAATTCTATCTGTCAAAATATTTTGACAGTTGACTTTTTTTATATCTATTTAATGATACTGATGATCTTGTATATGTTTTTTTAGCCTTATTTAGTAAAGGGACAAAAATTTTGCCAATAAAAGCCACAAATAACATTGAACAGAGTTACAATTTAGGATACAGCTTCCTTGTTTCCTCTTTTAATAGCCTATAGCAAAAAAACTTGGATAATTATTTTCCAACAGAAATAAATAGAGTCAAAGTGCAAACTTTAAACCGTCATAACTTCGAAATTTTTACACATAAAATTTTTTTAACATTTTTTCCATGTTCCTGGTATCTTACCTTACCTGGGGCGCGAGTTCTGGCGCATCCTGTATATAATTTTTCGTTAATTTAATTTAATTAATATTAAAGAGAACGTTCTATATGGGACATACTCTATAATGTATTTCAACAATAAATATTCGTTACTATACTACTATACAGTATGTCCCTGGATTGAGTTTACAAGTTTACAATTTCATTTTACGCCAAAACTACAAATGAAAAAATTTTTTTGCTCCACTTAAAACGTAAAAAAGTTTTCTCACTTCTTCTATTTTAAAAGAATAGTGTTAAGGATTTGAAGAAAAGATTAGATACACATTTTTGATTTATTTATTTATACAGGACCTTTTTATTAAAATCTGTCCAACGACTCAACATTGAGATCAAAATGGATGTTTAATTGTTTAAAAGTCCAAATAATTATGTTTTTTAGGTTGATGTACTATTTTGTATCAGAAAAACGCACTTCGGATTGTTCTTTTATGAGAGCTGCTGCACTTTCTGGTGTTATATCCCTTTGACATTGAGCCAACATTTCATATCCCACCATGAATTTCTTAACGGTAGCGGACCTGAGAAGGGGTGGATAATAACATCCATGGAAAGTCCAATATGGTAAAGACTCGTTAAACTGTTCACCAGTGGGAGCCCCATGCCAACCCATCGAATACGGGAAATTACACTTGAAAATGTTGTCATATTTGGCAACTATTGCTTTTAAGGCAGCGGCTAATGCTTCTTTCTGTTTCTTATCTAAATCGGTAAATCTCTGAACTTGTCTCTTTGGCAACACTAGGGTTTCAAAGGGCCAAGTAGCCCAATAAGGCACCACAATGGCCCATTCTTCATTTTGGTACACAACACGTTTATCTTGTTTCAATTCCTTCTGAAGATAGTCTTGCAGCATTGGTCTTCTATACTTCTCGTAGTACTCTCTTTGGTGCAAGTCTTTGGCTTTAGGTTCGTTGGGGAAAAAATTCGAAGCCCAAATTTGGCAATGAGGGTGTGGATTCGAACAACCCATCATAGCCCCTCTATTTTCAAAAACTTGGACCCATAGATACTTCTTGCCCAATTCTTCGGTTTGTCTAATCCACTCGTTTATAATAGCAACCACTTCAGATAACGTCATCGATGTGAAATAAACGTTGGAACGCGGATGGTAACAAATAACACGACACGTGCCCTTGGCCGATTTTGTTTGGAATAAAGGATCATCGTTTTGGGGCGGTTCAGGTCCTTCTTCTAAAAGTGAAGGAAAGTCGTTAGTAAAAACGTACGTTGATTTGTATTGCGGAGTTACTATTCCAGAGGAACGTTTAACTCCAGGACACAGAGGATTGTTTGGGTCGAATTCGGGGACTATTTCCACCGGTGGTTGTTCGACTTGCCCGCTCCAAGGTCGCAAGGCCCGATGGGGAGACACCAAGATCCATTCGCCCTTCAAAGGGTTATAGCGCAAGTGTTGATGCTCTGAAAGATGAATATTTCAAATTAGTATTAATTGATTTGTGTAATAAACACGTATGGGCTTGGTTTAGTGCAGAGTAAACAAAACTAGTTTAATTATTTAAGTTAGAAGTGGGAAATAGAACGTAATTCAGTTGGTTGTCTCACCATTTGGGTTAAAATCCATTTTGAACCTGAATTATAGATGATTGATGGGTTCAATAATCTTTAAGGAGACCACACGCTGATCATCTGCTGCCTTGTTGTATTTGAGTGTTTACAAACTTACTACTTGCACCGTTCATACATGATACTCCCCTCTCTTGACCTTGGACGCATAATCAATGAATGATAAAGCAGTCGCGCAGAGATGGATTCCGCGGGTTTTAAAAAAGCGGTCAGTGTTTGGAAAAAGTAGTTTAAAAAGTTAATTAAACGGTTTGACAATTAAAATTTTGTATGACATTTTAAAAATAATATTGTATACTTTGTCAACTAGCTTATGAAGTCTTGTATTATTAGTATTATTATTACAACATTGTTCACATAGAAACTATAGTATAATAGATTATTATCAGTTATTATCTAATCATCTTTAATTGTAAATTACAGTTTGCTTTTGGATTGCTGATATATTTTTTATAACTTGAGAGGGTAACAACTGTGAATACAAATGACTATGCGTTTAATGTTTTGTTTAATGTTTTAATAGTAATTTAAAAAAAACAAGTTTCATAAGACCAGTCTTGAAGCACATTTTCTGGTTGTTGTTAAAGTATTATCACGTTATGTGGAGTCTATAAAACTGTGAATCTAACATAGCACAAGTTGGTAAATTTAAAAAGTTTTAAGTGTTTAATCAAAAACTAATTTAAATTTATTTAAACGTAATGAAAGTGGTATTTAAAACGTTATTTATAAAATTTAAATGGTCTGTGCTATGTATGTGGCAAAAAGTAACTTTTTTGCTGGTTGGTTACAAATTCACAGTAAAATAATAGTACATTACAAACGAGGTAGTAAATTATCCTGACTGCTCATTGCAATCAATTGTTACGCAATGTACTCCCCCAGAAGTAAGAAAAACCGTTACAGAAACATTTGAATAGTAATTTAGTAAAATATTATGCGTAACTTGACAATTTGTAAGAAAAAAATCTTGGTATTTTTGTAATCTTAACGTTGGCAAACCTGTTTATTACCGACCATGGGATAAAATGATTTAATGATGTGTTTCCCAACCTTTAAAAGGTTGGCAACCAACATATTACATTTGTGATTGTGATTAAAAATAAATACGCACTAGAACAGCTGTTAGTAGTAAGTATAACAATTGAAAACTGCCTTTTTTGTTATACATATGTTATATAGTTCTGATATTTTTTAATTCATTTTTATTTGTAGGTAATTTAAGTAAGGTCATTTGCTGTCATTTAAGTAAAAGTACCGGGTGTTCAGCTCACATGGCATATCATCAGATGATAAGTGATCAAATTATCTTTGAACTAAACAAGGACAAACAACAGATTCTCTTTGAGATTAGACTGATTAGAAGATTAGAAAATTAATTTTTTTAATTATCGTACTGTGTAACGTACGAGTGCTATTTAAATTCAGTTTATTAAGTACTACTTTTTCTTAATTAAGACATGAAAATAATATACTAGAGCAGGTCAGAGTTGTCATATTATTTGAAATATCCTGTATAGTTTATCTCCTAGTATTTCACAAATAACCTTTGTATCAACTTTTCAGATTTTTATTTTTGTATTCGCGAATGAACTTTTATTGGAATGATTTTAAATTCAATCATATATTGTAAGTAATTAGTCTGCTATAACCTAAACTAGAATTACGAAAACTACAAAATGGTATTGTTATTCTTCTCACTGATTTAATTCAAATTTTATGACCATTTACAATAAATTTTACCTACCAGTGGGTACCTACTTGCCAAGAGAAGCAATATTTCCTCGGTTTCGCTTGGTACTAGACGAAGTTGTTCCAACACCTATCCGCCTAGCCATTTTTTTTTAAATTTCAATCTAAACTGCGCACAATACTCGTAGGTTTAATGAAAAACTTTCAGAATTTCGAATGTTTTACATTAGATGAAATTTCTATTTTAAAATATCAAGACTACATTACATACAAAAAATATTTCTAGAAAATTACGTAAAATAAATAGTTTCAAATTTTAGTTTTCAATTTAACATTTCAGCAGTATTTTAGACGACAAAATGGAATTTTATAAATTAAATATAAACGCCAAGTTATAGATATTCTTAAAACTTGTAATTGTGATTTAAATATGGAATTTAAGAAAACTAAGTATGTAAGTGTAAAAAAAACAATATTAAATTATAAGATTTTATTGGTCAATTGGTCAAATTCTCGTTGTCCGAAATTGATTTTTCTTTTTAGTGTTCTACTGTTTTTTTTTTTAAAGAATTTGAGATATATACAACATTTTGATGAAGCACAATTACAGCGTTTCATCAAATCGGCTCTTACCGTTAATTAAAAGAAAGTAAATTAACTAACAAATTACTTACATAATATGATATGTATGTGCGGGTGACTAATGTTTACCTGGACTTATTATTATCTCGTTTAAAATTGATTTTCTTTTGTATGATATTGATTTTATAAAATACCGAGACACCAACTGAAAAGAGATTTCTAATTTTTAATGAAGCACAATTAAGAAATCCGCTCTTACGGTTTTTTATTTTAAACAAGAGAAACTTAAAATACAATCAAATCTACGTAAGACAGTGTAATTAGGTTGGTAAAGAAAGGATTAAACAAAGAACTTACTTTTATAATGATAGCAATATTCACCTGAAAGCCCTAAATTCATCACAGCTAATCTTTTTTCGGTTCACATGAGATTAACTTTTACTGATTTGATTTCTAAAATAACTAAACACATTTTTAGTTACTGGAAAGATGTTAATAATATCCTCAGGTTGTAAGAGTTTTTTAACATTTAAACATTAAAAATGTGACCAACAACCGCTTCGGTTAAGTTCGGAAAATCTTCGTGATGAGCTCGGAACGCAACTTTAACAATTAATTTAAAAAAAAGAACTGGTTAAAAAACAATTTTATTTAATTAGAGGTCATTTTTAGATCATAATCTTTAATTAAAAAAATTACCATGGTGGGTTGCCATTTAAAAAAAAAAAAATTTTCAGAACTCGAAAACTAAAAGAAATTTCGAAAAATGTTATTCTTGATAAATGGTCACATTTTAATTGCACTCTACGCTACACTAATTATTTTTTTTTTGTAAAGTGCTTAGTTTACGAAAAAAACGCTTGGTTCCATACTTTTTATTCACCTGGTATGTATAGCTTGTTACAATAAAAATATGTACAATATTTATACTGGGTGTTCCGTTTTAATGGTTACAAATTTAAACAGGAGATAGAATATTCAATTTTAAGACAAAAGTTTTGGATGAACATGTATCGAAAAATGCTACTCAAGGGAGCTTCCTTCTCAAAGGGGTGCGTCTTTTAATGTTTTTTTTTCCAATATTTTCGAAATCATTTTAGATAATATTATAAAATTCGGTACAGATGACAATCTTCATACACCTAAACGAATTCAAAGATAAAATGGTAAATTTTTGAATCATGGGCTTTCTAAACTGGATGGGTTTAGGGTAGAAAGTACTCTCACCATTTCGGTTGTAGTTTCTTTCCACTTTCAGCAACAAAATTCTCAATTTTATAGTTTTTTTATAACAAAGGTCTTTTGCATTTTTCCGATACAACTTACCAATTTTGAGTAAAATCAGTTTTAAAATTTATGTTACAGGCCATAAACAGCATAGAAATTAAAAATTAAATTTGTTTTGCCGTTTAGGACGCCCCAGATTAAAAATTTTGACATTTCATTATGGAATTCGTTTACGTGTATCAAGGTTATCAGCTGTACCAAATTTTGTAATTTTATCTATTCTGAAATATTGGAAAAAACCTTTTAAAAAACGCACTCCTGTGTAGCTCCCTTACATAGCATTTTTCGAAACATGTTTATAGGAAACTTTGAAAACTGAATATTCTATAGTGTATTTAAACTTGTAACAATAAAAACAAAACACCCTGTATAAATTTACCCGACCCGACGGTATAAGAAGGATATTTTTTTAAATTTTGCAGTGACACATTATTTCAGGCAATAAATATACATAATTTTAAAACTGGTTTGTTATAATATATGGTATTATTTTAACAGCACATTTAAATAGCACAGACATTAATTTAGAGAAAAGCCTGATATCCTTACCAAACATTATTTAGGTAGCTACATATGTATGTAATTTATTAGTTAATTCTTCTCTTGATTAATTAACCTTTACTATTGTACGCATTTGAAAAGGAATGAGTTGATTACTACGAAATGTAAACAAGCTTTAAATGGTTTAATGTGTAATTTGTTTGAAGTGTTGGTAGTAAGTCGGTATACCGTATTTTATAGTATTTTAAAATAGAAAATGTTTAGACAATGACTTGTAATTAAAAGTTTTAAATTGCAGAAACAAACAGGCAAAATAGTAAAAATCTTGCACAAACTCAACTTTTGATATAGAACTTTCTGACACAACACAAAGAGAAAAATCTTAATTACATTTTTAGCTAAAACATTCTGTTTTTACATTACCCAATTATTTAAAAATTATGAAAAATTTTTACAAGTAACTTTGACAAATTTACTTTTGTGTTTCATTGATAGAAACCAGTAAACCCGCTTAATTGTTGTTCTCATCTCTGTTGCAATGAATTTACATCGGTAACGATTGTTAATTTGGTATAACATTTTCTTATTTTTTTCTTACTTTTGGTTTTTAGAAACTAACTTGAAGACGCAATAAATTATTGTAACATTAGCATAAATATTTATGCTAAAGTGATTAAGACAATTTTTAATGTATAGTGGACTAAACTGTATAACAGGTGGCGAAAAAATAAGCAGAATTAAAAAAAAACATATAATGGGTCATTGGGAACAACTCATTTTAAAATACATATAACATTTTTATTTATTATTTATTTATTTTTGTTAAAATTATGTGCAATGTGACAAAAATTACACTTTGTACAATATTCGACTAATAATAATCATAGAAGCGAATTTAAGCGAACTATTTTTTTTTCAATATTCTCAGAAAAATTAAGACATTTATAACATCCTCGCACGTATTCACTATCAAAATTTCATAATTTCAGTATATTCCTATTGTTTGGTAGTATTATGTTCCCATAATACGTATGAACTAAATTTAATATGCATTGTGTTTGGCAGTATTGTTTGGTTTAACAACAATAATAATTTATCTCATGTGTTATTATAACAAATAATGATTAATGATTTTCTCTTCCAGATTTTTCAAATTTGATTGATGGCTTAAATTTACATTGTTGAAAAGTGTTTACTCAGTGAATAAATAAATTTAAGCAAATAGGTGAAA